TTCGTCAATTCCAGCAGCTTTTCCATTTTTCACGCTTTTCACAGCTTGTGCAATTTCATCTACAAAGATGGTAATATCCGTACCCTTCTGCTCTACAGGCGAGTCTTCCTGCGGTTGCACGAGATTAAGAAGTTAAGCAGAGTACTCCAACCATCGCAGAAGAATGTCATCATCCTTCGTAAGTTAGCGTCAAGACCTGTCTTTCAAGACTCTGAGACTGCTCTTGTTTTCACGTCGGAGCCGACGGATTGCTGCCAGAATACTTTGTTTGCCGTGTGGGAATTCGACTCCAACACCTCACAACTTTTCCCACGAGTCAGCTTTGCTGCCACCTTGCGTGCTTCAAAATATCGCAGGCGAGTAGAAGGCTCTTTATTTCCAATCCATTTCTTGAACGCTGCTTTCTTTTTTTTAACTGCAAATTGTACCCCTCATGTCCACCATGAAGATCTTTTCTGACCTCCAGGCGGCCGGCCAACAGGTTTAAATTTGTAGCACTCAGCGTCAGCCTCGATTATGGCGCTCTTAAAGAGATGCCACTCCTTTTCAACGTCAGTTGTCATCGCTGGGATCTGTTCAAACCGTCGTGCGATGTTGTTTGCAAATTTCGCTGTCGTGTCCGCCGAATATAATGTTTCCCATTTGACGGTGTGGTTGCTTCTGCGACCAGGTCTTCGTGTGATACTCCATTTCTGATATCGCAGCGTCCTAACAAGAAGGTGGTGATCGGTTGATAGCTCTGCTCCTCTCTTAACGGGAACATCCATTGCTGAGCGTTTCAAGTCAGACGATATGATTATCAAATCGAATATCGAATTGTGTGCACGAGCTTCCAGGTACCAGGCGTGCTGGTGCACTCTTCGATGCTCGAAGAAGGTGTTCATACTCAACAATCCGTTGTATGCAGAAAACCGCCACAACTTCATGCCGTTTTTTTTGAGATCGCTAGGGTCGTTTTTTTCGAATAACGCCGTACCACTTTTCAGCGTCTACTCCGTCATACTCATTAAAATCTCCCATGAGATTGAGGGTCTCCGTATTCAGCACTCTGTATAGAAGACACTGCAGTTCTTCAAGGAAGGTGTCATATTCTCCCTTCAAGTTGGAGTCATTACCTGTATCAAGGTAATTGCTTTAGCTTGTTGTAGTATCAGTTGGAGGATTGCCACCCTTCCTCTGCCAGGCTTCCAATCAATGATTCTGGTTCTACCAGAACACCAACACCGGCTTGATCGCGCGTTGTGGTATCGACACGTGAGTAGAATAGCTTCCACCCGGAAAAGTTCAGGATTCCAGTGATTTTGCGTTTTTTGGCGGAAGTCCAGGAATATCGAGTTGGCACTTTATGGCCTCATCAGCTAACTCTTGCTCCTTCCCTCTGAGTGAGGATATATTCCAATTTCCGACTAGAAGTTCCCACTGGCGGTGTCGTTATCGTGGATCCTTTTTTGATGTTTTATAGCGGCATCGCGTTGTCTTCCTCGCCCGTTCAGAACGGGTAGCGACTCCGTTGCTGACTGGTGTATTCGTCGTCGGTGTTCGTCAGGCGTAGTTGTGCTGCTGCGCCCTCGGCTAGCAGAGAGCGATGAGCAAGTTCTGAACGCCGTCGTTTGGCAGTTTGGCGCAGTCCCGCAACAGCCTGCGCGGCCCTTGGTATTCAGACCAATGTCCGAGCTGGTATAATTTTCGATGACGTTAGTACCATGAGTAGCAGGTGGGGAACCTTTTTCGTAGTCTTCGCCACGGTCTCCAGCGGTCCTTCTTTCTCAGGCGGGCTTGGGACTGGCAACGTTGGAGTTTAAAGCACTTTTTGAGAGTGAAAAGCTTCCTATCCGGAAACTGTCCTTCTGCTTGAAATGGACGGTTCCGTATTTTTCCATCGATGACGCGCGCTTATCTATGCGAAAAAGTCCAGTCAGCGTAA